CCCCGGGCGCGCTGAACAGCACATGGGTGCGCACAGGTATCGTGCATCTCGGGGCCTGCACCGCCGCGCACTGGCAATGTGCAGGCTTGCTCCCCACCAGCGAGTCCTCATCGATAAGACAAATGCCACTGAAGGGACAAGCGTGCACACATCTATGTCCAAAGCTGCCGTGGCGGAGGGTGCACTGATTGCCGTGTGGCCGCGTGCCTAGACCGAGTGGCACAGCGTAAGGCGTGGACGTAATCTTGCGGCCGAAAGCAAAACAAACGTGCATCGTGCATCGTACGTCCGAGTGCCAGGGCGCACCGCATGCAGTACAGCGTGAACTACATGTCTTTGTTGTCATACTCGCCCTTCAGTGACTGGCACACCTCTGCCCTGATTGCTTGCCATTCGTGCTCAACGACCGTTTGGGCGCTTCAACCTGGAAAAGCGTTGGTGTACGTGGTAGTGAGGTCCCCATCGAATTCCGCGCCGAGGTAAAGCCAGAAAAGGACGAATTACGGAAGCTCGGCGCCGAACTGGTCGCAAGGGGGCAGATGAGACGAAACACCCAAGTGATCAACGGTCGTGGCGTAGCCGGCGTGCTGGCTGCATATGGACGTGGTGTCTGCAGCACTCGCAGGATGCGTGTCCGGCCGGCTGCGGTCCAGTCGGGACAAAAAGTTGCATCGGTGACATCGGGTTGGTGATGAATGGTTTGCTGCCCCCGGGCGCCAACGATGACAGCTGCGAAGCGCCTTGGGGGTCGGGCCTGCGCAGGGACCAACACCATGTTGAAGCAGGCGGCAACCGTAATAGTGAGGTTGCCCTTGACTGGTGCCAAGAGTGGTGCAATAGGTACATGAACGCCACGTGCTCCACTCGTGTGATGCGACGCGCCGGCAAGGACAGCCAGCACTGTCGCACACGTCACGACGCACGGCGCTAGCCCAGGGAGGAGCCTCGCAGTCACACTCGACGCGAAGTTGCGGCCAGCGCCTGTGGAGTGCGATGGGTCAGGGGACGTCGTCGCGTTCCCGTGGGCGAATCGATCCACATTGCGTTGTAACCTGCAGCTGTCGATGCCCTGCGCAGCTGGACTCTCGCAGGTTCCGGACGGTTCGGCGTCTGCCTCATCGTAGCTTGTGAGCGTCCAGGGCAAATTGCCACCCAGCTTGCAGAACAGCCACAATCACAAGCTTCTCGGGGAACGAAGGGTGGATCCAATGCGCAGATTGGGAAGACTGAAGTGCGCGCCCACATCGCACTGTGCGCAGCTCAGTGGATCTCGAACTGGGATTGTTCCCAGCTCCGCTGCAAACTAGAGTTGCGGATGGCCGTGGTGAAAGAGAGAAGACATGGCGGCAATAGTATGAGTAGAGCAGCGGTCCTTTGCCTTTATCAGAATACGGACGTGTGCGGACTGTGAGCCAGAATGCCGGCGGGTGCGCGCCCGTACTCTTACTCGAATCGAGAGGAGCACGATGCGTTATACATCATAACCGTTGCGAGAGGAGCGGGGAGGAGGGAGGAAGAGGGAGGAGAAGGAAGGATGGAGGAAAGCGAGGGAAGAGGAGGTGAGGGGAGAAGAGAGGAAACCGAGCCGCGCTCGCGGTCCGCCAGCGCCTGGAGCGCGAGGCCCGCCTCTGAGGGCAGACGGAACGGGGGAGGCACTTGATGCCCGCACCTTCCCCCACCCGGCTCTCCTCCCCCGCCCCTCCCGCCCCCCCTCCTCATCATCCTCCCCAGTAAACTGACCACCTGCCTTTCCATCCCTGCTGTCCTCCTCTCTCCTTCATTACGCCGCTCCTTTTTGTGGGGTTCGGGTGTAAACCTGTCTTTCCCTGCTGGTTTGCGTTATCTCCGTTCTCCTGAAGAGCCCACACGGATCCATAATCACCCTCCTCACCCTCCTCCCCCTCTTCCCTTCTCCTCCTCCTCCACCCCCCGATCCCAAAATCCTGCACTACTTCCACCATGCTCCTCCCTCCCGGCGCTTGCTAATCCACCTCCCGCTACACTCCTTGCCCTTAGAAGTAACCCTCCCTGTCACACCCGAGGCGTGTCGCTGTGTCGGGCCGGGCGTGTCGCCTGAGACTTCCTTACCGTTTAGGGGTCCTTAATGTGAAGATTCGCAAGAGCTTCACGGGTGGAGGGCGGGCCGCTTTCAGAGTGTGGCCCTCGCCTCAGCGCCGCGCACATGTGTCATACAGAGCGCAAGAGTTCCAGGAGTGGAGGGCGAGTGGCTGTCAAAACGTGGCTCTCGCCGTATCGCCACGCACTTTCTTTTAGAAAGCATGCAGGAGTTTCACTGGTGGAGGGCGAAGGGTTCTGGAAATGCGGCTGTCGCCTTAGCGCCGCGCGCATCTGTCTCAAACACTTTGCAACAGCTTCACGGGTCGAGGACGCGTGGCTTTCACAAGGTGGCTCTCGATGCAGCGCCGCGCATATTCGATTCAAGAGTTCACAACAGTTTCAATAGTTCTCGTGGTCAACGTACCAGAAATGGTGTTTGGGCACGATGTCGGACTGTCAGGGCGCAACAATGATTCTGATGCGCGGTGTTGAAATCCCAAGAACGGCGTTCTGGCACGATTCAGGACCGTCAAGACGCGACAGTAATGATGATTCGCGGCACTGAAATCTCAAGAACAGTGTCCTGGCAGAGTTCAGGACTTTCAAACGGGTGTCTTCCATCGGGGCACTTCCCGAATCCTTGTGGGGGCCTGCGAAGAAGGAACTTGGAGGGAGGGTTCATTGCAATATCGAGAGCGTGATCCACCGCCGCTTACTGTGGAAAATTCCCCCCCCCCCTCTTCCCGGGGGTCTCCCCCCCCCCCCCTCCAAAAAATCCCCCCCCCCCCCTCTGCCGACCCCCCCCCACCTCCCTCCTGGCAAAACCCCGCTCCCCCTAACCCCCCCCCCCCCCCCCTCCCCGTCCGGAAAAACGGGGAGACCCCCGGGCTCCTACCCCGTCCGCACCACATTCCCCACTGCTGTCCCCAGCACCACTGTCATCACCACCACTGTCCCCACTGTCCCACCACCATGTCCCCACCAGTGCCCCCCCACCACTGTCGCACTGTCCCCACTGTCCCCGCCACTGTTCCCACCACGGTTCCACTCTCCCCACTTCTCCACGGCCCGAACCACTGTCCCACTGTCCCCACTGTCCCACTGTCCCCGCCGCTGTCCTACTGAGCTGTCCCACTGTTTCCACCACTGTCCCCACTGTCCCCACCTCTGCCCCCACTGTACCTCTGTCCCATTGTCCCACCGCCGTCCTCGCCACCGCCCTCACCACTGTCCTCACCACCACTGTACCCTCCACTGTCCCACTGTTTCCACCACATTCCCACTGTCCCCATACCACTGTCCCCACCACCACCGTCCCCACCACTGTCCCACTGTCCCCATTGTTCCCACCGTTGTCCCCGATGTCCCCACCAGTGCCCCCACCCGTGTCTCACTGTTCCCATTCTCCCCACAATTGTCCCACCACGGTTCCACTCTCCCCACTTTCCTCACGGTCCCCACCACTGTCCCACTGTCCCCACTGTACCCACCACTGTCCCACTGTCCCTGCCGCTGTCCCACTGTGCTGTCTCACCGTCCCCACTGTCCCCATCACTGTCCCACTGTCCCCACTGTCCCCACCTTTTTCCCCACTGGACTACTGTCCCACCACTGTCCTCACCACCGCGTTCACCAGTCCCCGCCACTACCGTCCCCACCACTGTCCAACTGTCCCCACCACTGTCCCGCTGTCCCCTCACCACTGTCCCCACCACCACCGTCCCCACCAGTGTCCGCACCACTGTCCCACTGTCCCCGCACCACTGTCCCACCACCACCGTTCCCACCACTGTCCCAGCATCCCCACCATTGTCCAACTGTCCCGAGGAGCAAGGATCGTTTGCGGGCGGCGAGGGGGGGGGTCGAACCGGTAGCGACCTCCCCCGATTTTCGATTTGAGGGATGGGGGGGGGCTTCGAACCGGCAGTGACCCCCCCCCCTTTTCATGATGGACTGGGGGGGGGAGGGGTTCGAACCGGTAGTGACCCCCCCTGGGTTTCGAAGCGGGGGGGGGACGGGTTGGGAACCCCCAGTGCCCCCCCACGGTTTTCCGCCAGCAGCGGCAGAACACGCTCTTTCCGATATCGTTGACGAGTCTTCAGCTTGCATTTGTCCTCGAGGATGCCGACTCTCTAAGAGATCGAATGCCTAACACCTCCGCCTCCCACGGGCCACATTGAAACCCACATGGTCTGAAGTACTTGAGTGGCGATTCTGTCTGCGTAGAAGCACAGCGACCACCCGCGGTCCCAGGGGCAGCGACGACATCGTCTCGAGAGGTCCGCCGGGACACGGATCGGGCCCCCAAGCCCCCTGCCAGAGAATGGCCCTCCAGGCTTGGGCTGCCCTGGGCCTCCCCGTCCCAGGAGACGAGGTAGTCCGCGAAGTCGGGCTCGAGGACCTCGTCCCAGTCCTCGCTGGGGGCAACGACGCACGCGCCCGCTGGCACCAGGGGCACCGCGAAGCGGCCGCCACGGGTCTCGTAGAGCGGCAGCGCCTGCAGCAGCGAGGGGTCCCTGGGCACCAGGCCCTTCTCCACGAACCTGGAGACCAGTGCCAGCAGCGGCCGGGACTGCCGCCGGCGGCGCACGCAAGGGGGGTGGCGCGAGGGGGGCGGCCGTGTCCAGATGGCAAGGGCGGGGGGGACTTCCGAGAGGGCCCGAGGCGTTCGCATGAGGGACCAGGGGCTTCTCTCGGCGGTGGACAAACCTCCCTTTGGTAAACTTCCCCTTAGTGAAAACGGCCTGGGACCGAAACCGACGGACCTGGACCCGCGACGCCCTCTCGCGCACCGAAAACGGCCCATTCACTAATCCACGTGTCAGGGTAGGAGGTCTACCCACCTCCGACTCTCAGGAGAGGCCCTCTTTGGAAGCCTCCGGGCGCTTCCGAGGAGGCCCCCGAAGGACGCCCCCCTCGCCTCCCAATCGGAGGCCACCCCCCTCGCGCCACCCCCCCCTGCGCCCGCCGCCGAGCCTGGCCCACGGGCACGCGCAGCGGCTGCAGCCCGCGGTGGAGCCTGCAGGGCGCGGGCCCCTCGGCGGGGTGCCTCTGCTCCGCCTGCCAACGGTCCGCGAAGGCCACCCGGAGCGCCGCCAGGGTGGAGGACTTCTCCTGGGGGCGGCAGGGCACCGAGCAGAAAAACCACCCTCGTCAGAAGCACCCCGACAAGCGAAACTCTGTGGTCGACGCGCCTAAGGAATCCGGGCATCGAACGCGAACGTCTTCTGATTGGGCGGTTCGGCATTGGGCGAACGGGGGGGGCAGGGGGGCTGGGCTCCGGACCTCTGCTTCGCGCGACTGCTTGAAACAATGCTCGGGGGATCCGAGCGGGGGAATCCGAATTCAATCCGAATCCATATGACATCGACTGGAATTCTCAGGATTTGCACTTCCAGAGGATCCCACAACAGGTGGCTACCTCCGAGGGGGTGCTTTCCTTACCAAGCATATCCGGCGCCCTGGGGCCACTCTCTAATTTTCCCGAAGGCCGCCCCTGACCATCGCTCGGACGTGCATTCCCCGTGCATGTTTCGGTCTCGTGCGTATTTTTGTTCGGGGGGCTCGATCATCCAGGATGCTCCTCGATGGTCCTCGCCGAGAAAAAATGGACACGTCCGAGCGATGCCAAGGCCCCGGAGAGCGCAATGCACCGTTGAGCGAAGCAGCGAGTCGTCGTGCCCACCAGGGGTGGGGGGGCGGCGGCGGGGCCCTCGCGCGTCCTCTCAGCCTGCTTGAGACAGGTGCCAACACACAGCCCAGATCTACTTCATGGGGGGGGGGGGGGTGCAGGGGCCCGCGCCGATCGGCAAAACAATGATCGGGGAGAAGTGAGTAGAAAAAGGAAGCAGCATAGACCTAAACTTTTGGCGCTCCGCGCGGGTTTCTAGGATCTGGGCTAGAACCCCCTGCCTGGCGCGCTCCGAGCGCCAGGGGCGGCGCTGGAGGCGCCGCCGGGGGGGCCCAGCGCAGTTGCAAGAAATCCACGCGGAGCGCCAAAAGTTTATGTGTATGGCATTTCTTATCTCCTTCGAATAAAACTCGAGTTCGTGGGACTCGGGTTGGCCTGACGGGGGCATCATGAGAATGACGAGACCCAATGGAATTTGACGCGAACTCCTGCTGCAAACATCCCACGAAAATTGGACCGTCAAATCCAGGACGCGCTCGTCAAAAAGCGCCGGCAAACCAGAGTTCCTGCGTACTCGAGTCTTACGTTTCCCTGAAATGAATCAGAAAAAGAACGCAACAGGGCCGGGCTGTTTACTAAATGCCCAGGGCCGTTGCGTAAACGCAAGTTGTTGAGTCGGGGTGGTTTTCCCTCCCTTGACGAAGTGCACCGACACCGCTACGCTTTTACTCCGCGCAGTGCACTGCGCGATGGCCAAGCAATGCTAACCCCTCGGGCGCAGTCTGCCGCGCCGCAGGCGACCGCGAGGCGCCTGGAAGAGCCCGTAGGCCCACACTATCATTAAAATCCTGGGCGGTGTGCTGCGGCGGTGCGTCCTGCAGCACCTCATCGAAGCTGCGAAGCTGGGGAAAACGAGAGGCGGGTGCCTGCCTCCGTTGCACGGTTTCCCCCGGGGCCGTAGGCGACTGACTCAAGGAGGAGGAGGAGGAGGAGGAGGAGGAGGAGGAGGAGGAGAAAGAGGAGGAGGAGGGAGGAGGAGGAGGAGGAGGAGGAGGAGGAGGAGGAGGAGGAGGAGGAGGGGGAGGAGGAGAGGAGGAGGAGGAGGAGGAGGAGGAGGAGGAGGAGAAGGAGGAGGAGGAGGAGGAGGAGAGAGGAGGAGAGGAGGAGGAAGAGGAGGAGGAGGAGGAGGAGGAGGAGGAGGAGGAGGAGGAAGTCGGGGGAGGAGGAGGAGGAGGAGGAGGAGGAGGAGGAGGAGGAGGAGGAGGGAGACGGGTCGCCTAAGCCTTTCGGAGAAACCCTCCACGGCGACCCTCGTCTCCCCGAACCTCTCCCCCAGTGTGCCGACCAGGCCTCCGAGGCGAATCGCATGGTAGCGACGAGGGCCTCCCAGGAGGCCCAGCAGGGCAAAGACGAGAGGAGGGCGGAGGTAATTATCGGTAGCCCTTCCCCCTCTCGTGTCCAGGGACAGCGCAGCCCGCAGCCTCTTGCCGGGGCGGGCGATGAGCACCCCGCAGCGCTGCAGGGTCTCCCTGTCGGCCTGCGGGAAGTCCTCCGCCGACAGCGCGCGGCGCCGCACGGCCTCGTGAACGCTCACCAGGCAGGGCGCCTCCTCTGCACCGTCCGGGGCGCCCACCAGGGGCACGCAGGGGAAGTCGCTGACCACCTGCAGCGGGTTCGCGCCCTTCTCGTGAGCGTTCTCCACCACGCGCCAGAGCAGCTCGCAGCGGCGCACGACCCCGCGGAGCTCCGCCGCGGTGTGGCACACGCACGCCTCCTCCGCCACCTCCGCGGCTGGCCCGTGCTGGTCAGCCACTTGGCTGATGCTCTCTGCCTCCTCATGCTCCGTCTCCTCTTCCTCCTCCTCCTCATCCTCGTCCTCATCCCGCCACTCCTCCTCACGCCAGTCGTCGGCGTCGTAGTCGTCCAGCCCCCCCGCGCCCCCGCGCCGCTTCCCTCTGTGGCGGCTGCCGCCGAGGTTGGGGCCCCTCCGGCCGCCGCCCTTCGCGCCGCCCTTCGCCATGGCTGGCGCCCGCGAAGCACCGCCTCCTCTCTGCCGCCCCGCCTGCCTGGCGCCGCCACGCGGCGCCCCGGCCTGCCCAGCGCCGGCGGCAGCCGCGGCGAGGAGGCGCGAGGGGGTGCCGTCGACCAGCACCTCGTCGCCACGGGCGGTGACGCATGGCTTGCCGCGCCAGTGAGGAGGGAGCACCGCCGGCAGCAGCAGCGGCAGCGCCCGCGCGTTCAGCAGGCGCAGGTTGAGCGGCGCGTTCGCGGCGCGGGGGCGCAGGAGGCGGAACGTGGCGGACGAGCTGTCGATGAAGCTGCGGTGCGGCAGCAGCTCCTGCAGCTCGGAGTCCTCGGCCCACCAGATGTCCGCCGCCGCGCCCGGCCTCTGGAAGAGGGCGAGCCCCCCGCGGGCCAGGGGGCACAGGCGCAGCCCGTGGAGCACCGTCAGGGGGCCCGTCCCCGAGGGCCCCAGCAGGTACGCGTTCAGCGAGTCCGCCTCCGAGGCCGTGAGCTCCGGCGCCGAGCTCCTGAGCGCCTGGGCCAGCGGCTGCGGGCCCAGCCACGAGGAGCCCTTGACCTCCGCGAGCAGGGCGCGCAGCCTCGCTGGCACCTCGACGACGCCGCGGCGGCTGCCTGCGACCCGCAGCTTGGCGAGGGCGGAGCACATCCCGGAGTCCAGCCTGGCGTACTCGTCGTCCGCGCAGAGGAGGGCCCGCTTGGGGGGGCGGTACTGCTCGTGCCCTGCGTCCCAGAAGACCGCAGCCTGCCGGCTGAAGAGCTCCTCAGTCGCCTGGCGTGGGAGGGGGCCGAACAACCCCTCCGCGGCGGCGGGCCACAGGCCCCACAGCGCCTCCGGCGCGCACGGGCCTCTCACAGTCTCGCTCCAGGGGCCCGCTGGCAGGAGGTCCACGGCCTCAAAGGGCGCGCTGCCACTGGCCGGCGGCGCCAGTCCGGCGGCCCGCAGCTCGAGCGCGTCGGCGTACGCTCGCGGCAGCGTGCCGGTCAGCAGCTCTTCGTTCCACGCGGCTCGCAGCGTGCCGTGGCTGGACTCCTTGTCGTCGCTCCTCCGCCACAGGTCGCGCCTATTGGTGGAGATGGCGAAGTTGGCGGACGCGTGCGCCGGCAGCCCAGTGGACAGCGATAGGGGGAGAAAGCAGAAGGCACGACCTTCCAGCGGCTTCTCCGCCGCCGGCGGCCACAGCCGCAGGGCCACCGCGCCGCAGCGGTGTTCGGGTGCCTCCGCGCCCCCCGCCCGCGCGGCGGCCGCGGGCTCGGAGCGCGCGGCCACGAGCCACGCGGACGACTCCCTGACGACTCCGCCAGCGGCGGAGCCGCCGTCCGCCGCGGGGACGTCGCTGTCCACAGCGAACGCGTACCCCGCGCGGCGCGGCCCGCGCTGCCCGCCCGAGGCCTGCGGCAGCAGCCGCCGCTCCTGCCGAAGCCTGGCCCCCGCGGCCTCCGAGGCGGCGCGAAGCGACGCGCCGCCCAGGCGGCGCGTCTCGCCGCCCCCGCAGGGCCGCAGCAGCACCTCCACGGACTCGAGGGACTGCAGGAAGAGCAGCAGCTCGCCCGGGGGGTGCCGAGGGGGCCCCTGGCCCAGGCTGCCCCCCCGCGTGCCGCTCCACGTCGGGGCCCCTGGGGCCTCCTGCGGGCCTCGCGAGGGGTGCTCGGCAGAAGCCACCTCCTGGGCCTCCCTGGGAACGCGGGGGGCCACCCTGGGCCAGGGCCCCGTCTGTGGCAACACCCGGCTCGTGGGCGCCGCGCAGCAGGTCCGTCAGCACGCCCAGGACCCCCTCGACGGTGTGACACGCGCCGCAGATCTCGGAGCGCTCGGCGAGCTCGCGGGTCCGCAGCGGGAACCGGAACAGCGCGCCGCGCAGCGGGGCCACGCGATCGGCCCCGCAGTCCTGGAGGAAGAAGCAAACAAAAGCACTGTAAACATAAAACGTTCGGAGCTGCTCGTCCTGACCCGTTTTGGGAAAGCTCCAGAGCCTGGGGGAGGGCCCCGGAAGCCTGAGAGCGGCACAAGAAACCCGCAGGGCCCCTTTTCTTCAGGACCCCCTTTCTCTTCATGCTCCTATGGGGCGAAAGTCGGCTCCGAGTGGATCGGCACTGGAAACCCTCCTCCCTGGCGCACGGAGCGCGCCAGGGGTGGCGCAAGAGGCGCCACCAGGGGGGACCAGCGACGACCCCAAAAATCTGCCCGGAACTTCGAAGGCTTATGAGCATTCCGTTTTTCATTCTTCGCAGTCCGCGGCGACGGCAGCGAAGGGCGCGAGCTGGGCGTGGTAGCGCCGCATCTCGTCCTCTCCGAGCCGCAGCTGGAGCCCAGACAGGCCGCTGGGCAGGTGCCGCCGGTGCGGGTCGAAGATGCAGAGCCTGCCGAGCTGCACGACAGAAGCGGAGGGAGATAGTAAGGTGAGAGGAGTAGGAGGACGAGGAGGGGGTCGAGGAGAAAGACGACGAGGAGGAATATAAGGAAGAGGATGAGGGGGCATGAGGATGAAGGGCATGGAGGAGGGAGGAGAGGGGGTGGTGGAGTGGGAGGAGAGGGTGAGGAGACAAGGAGGAGGAGGCGGAGGAGGAGGAGGAGGAGGAGGATGAGCAGCAGGAGGAGGAGGAGCAGGAGCAGCAGCAGGAGGAGCAGCAGCAGCTGCAGCAGCAGCAGCAGAACCAGCAACATAGCCCCCTGACACCCAGCGTCGGGAAGAAACAGCACAGTGAAGTAACAACTCGCAACTGCAATGTCCTGGCAGAGAACCGCTGGCTACGCCCACGGGCCGCTGACATCGGCATCGAATGGCACGAATTGCGGATCTGGGCATGCGTATACACGAATGGAGTCGCGATTGCGAAAATGACAAAAGTGATGTCAAAGGTGTTGATGCTGCTGCTGATGATAGTGATGACATCAGAGTCGTGGGGATGGTTGTGGACAGAAATGGCAACAATACGATCACATACGATGGTGGTGGTTAAGGTGGTGATTGCGACGTTGATGATGGGGTTGATGAACATGGTGATGATGTTGGTGATGACTGATGACTGCTATGAGAAGCCGCCGATCTGGGCTCAAGACAGCGCACCAGTTCCCTTCCAACACCTTCATATCTGTAGTTGTTCTTCGTGCACATGGTACGGACCGAAGTGTAGTGCGCGCTGGCAGAATGAGTCGAGGAAGAGGAAGGTGAATCTGGAAAACAAGAGAGGGGGATGAGAGGAAGAAAATGATTCGATGATGCGGAAGCGGAGGAGGGAATAGGACAAAGCAGTGCTGGAATTCCTGAAAAGGGGTCAGGGATAAGAAAGCGCCTGCATCACAGGCTGGTACTGACCTAGACATCGTCCGATGATGTTGATTCCACCACATGAAGAAAGTTGTTCGATCCTGTCTCGATATGAGTGTTGCGCACTTCCTGCCCGCGTCTCAGGTGATCTCGAGTAGTCTCGACTCGGGCGTTGGCGCCTAGATCACGATCTCGATCTCCGCCCCAGCGGGGCGCTAGGACATCTCGAGGGGTCTCTATCCTAGCGTTGGCGTCCAGATTGTGGTGCGCAGGGGCGTCGATTGCAGGATTGGAACGCTCGCGCTGAAATGACGGCGCGGCACGAATCCTCGAAAACGTCAAGCACAACCCCATGACAACGAGCACCGTGTTCAAATTAGCGGCAATTGAGCCCTGAAATCTGCCACGAACGACAAAATGCAACGAAAACGCATTGGAACAGCCTCGCAAGCGCCACAAGCATCCTCACCTGCAATCGAACTCCCAACATATGTGGTTAACGAATTGTCGCTCTCTCATGTTCAATTACCCCCTCCTCGCACGACCAATTGGAGCGTCCAGGATGGCCAAGATGGCTCTGAGAGGGCCCTCGATAGCCCGAGATGGCCTCCAAGATGGTTCAAAATACTCCAGGATGGTTCGCGAAAGCCTCCGACATGCCCCCAAGAGGCCCCCAAACAGCCCCAAGACAGCCCTTCGAGCCGCCAAAGGGAGCCCCCAAGACGCCAAAACCTTTCAAACACTCACAGAAATCTACGTCGTTTGCCTTCTCACCTTTTCGCTTCCGATTGCCTTTTGAAGCCGCAAGGCTTTTCCAAGATTGCCCGAGACCCAAGAACCAAGAGCCGCCCAACAAGGGCCCAAGAGCGCCCCAAGAGACCTCCAATACGTTGTTGTTTCTGCCTCCGAGGTAAGGCAGGGGGGGGCCTGACCCCCCCCCTCCCCCCCGCGTTTTTTCGAGCCCACGGTCCCACGACTGCCACGGGAGGCCTCCATATCCCCCACGCACACACACACACACACACGCACACGCACGCGCGCGCACGCGCACATACGCACACACACGCATACGCACACACACACACACACACACACACACACACGCGCACGAACACACACACACACACACACACACACACACACACACACACGCGCACACACACGTACACGCACACGCACGCGCACACGCACACGCGCGCACCCCCACACACACACACACTCACACCCACACCCACACCCACACCCACGCACACACACACACACACACACACACACACACACACACACACACACGCACGCACGCACGCACGCACGCACGCACGCACACACACAGACACGCAGACAGACACACACGCACACACACACACACACACACCACACGCGCGCGCTCGCGCGCGCGCATAGGGTAGGGGACAGGGGCTCGCAGTTTTCTTGCAGAGCGTTGCGCCGGCGACCACAGGCCAGCCAGCGCGTCATGCTCTATGGATTACGCCCTCCTTCTTGGCCCCCGCCCCTGCTTGGCCCATCACCCTCAGCCCTCAGCCCTTGGTCTTTGGTTGAGCCCAGGGCCGAGCGGGAGGTCGCGCCCGCAGGCCGAAGGTCGGCGGGATGGCGTAAGTCACTTGCATAAGCGTTTCGATCGGATCGAGCCGTGAAGGTCCCAGGGCCCGACATGGGGCGAACCCGTCAGTTCTTTGTCATATGTTTGGGGGGGGGCGACGCCAAGATGCCAGGGACAGCAGAGCCTGTCGCGTGACACGAAGGAGATGACGTCCGAGAGGTGGTAGGTGGCGTTGAATCCGAGGCCGTAGTGGCCAATCTTGGTGTGGTCTCCCCGCTTCACCTGAATCGGACAAGCGCGCTCCACTACTCGCAAAGCAACTACTCGCGAATGGTCTGGATCCGCTGCGAGGGATTTGCGATACGTTACAAAAGGGCGGACATGTTTTCTTCTGGCGCTTGCGAGTAGGCACTTTGCGAGCAGTGGAACGCGCTCGGTGATGAATGGCAAGCTCGGCCGAGAGGAGGCTCCAACAGGGGGAAGGGAATGATGCTGGAATTCTCCATGAACTGCTACTCGGGGGTATCGCCCTCCTCCTCCTCCTCCTCCTCCTCCTCCTCCTCCTCCTCCTCCTCCTCCTCCTATAAGACGGAACTATGTTCTCCATAAGCGCTCTCCCAAGACACCACATGAACTGCATTTCGGGGGTACCCCCTCCTCTTCCTTCTCCTCGTACGCTTGCACCTTCCTCCCGCCTCTTTCTCCTACGCATCCTCAGATTCCTCATCCTGCCTCCTCTCCTGATCATGGTCCTCCCCCTCCTCATCAACAGCAACAGTGTCAGCACCATCATCATCATCATCATCATCATCATCATCATCATCATCATCATCATCATCATCATCCTCATCCTCATCCTCATCCTCATCCTCATCATCATCATCATCATCATCACCACCATCATCATCATCATCATCATCATCATCATCATCCTCATCATCATCATCATCATCATCATCATCATCACTCTTAGCATCATCACCATCTTGATCATCATCAGCAACATCGTCATCAGCAGCATCAGCATCAGCATCAGCATCAGCATCAGCATCAGCATCAGCATCAGCATCATCATCAGCATCGTCATCAGCAGCAGCATCGTCGTCGTCTGCAGCAGCAGCAGCAGCAACATTCTCAACCTCATCCTCATCACCATGCTCGACCGCATCCTCCTACCCTTCCCCCCTGGAGTAGATCTTGGCTATTCTTTTTGGCGCCTGTTTCAAGCAGGTGGAGTCTGCCCCACAGGACGCACTGCTGCAAACCGTCGCATGAAGCAGAAGTCCGGAACAAGACCCCACCCTTCCCCCTCCCCCCTTCCTCCCGGTGTCGAAACGCCGAATCAGAAAACGCTCACTACTTTGCCGCTCCTGGACCCTGGCCTCTCGGAAGGCTCACCGAGAAGCCGACGCGCACACATGAGTATCGTTTTACCGATCCCCATCCCCAGCGGCATGGCCTGGGCCCCACTGGCCGATCTACCCCTTAGATGGGGATAGAGGCCGTTCCCTTCGGGTTTCGAGGGGTGTATCCCCAACTGGGGTGGTAATTAGGTGGGGGTCTCGAAAGGGATGGGGATGGGGACGGGGGTCGGTTAAACGATACTGAACAACAACTCCTGAGAGAGGCCCGCCTTGAGGAGGGACCGACCGTCCCGGCATTCCCATAAGCCTACCACGACATGTTCTCAGAACCCACGAATCCTCCAAGAACAAAAACAAAAGTTCTTAGAGCCCGATGCGCTGAAACGAAGCAACCCCAGCCAGGAATCTTCTCAAAACACCTCGTGGAGACCACAACGGGCTCTCAGAACACTCCTCGGCAGGCCTATAGGCACGCCGAGACGCTTCTCGGGCCGGGCGAAAGGGGGGGATAGCAAAGGGGGGGGTGATAATCAGCTCACGTAGCTGATTTGCCTGGCGCCTCCCGGCGCCGGAGGCTGCCATGTATCGAGGACTGGGCGTTTCGGTGGGGCAGACACCAGCTGCATGCCGCAAACTTCGTACCCCCCCTTTTCCGACCCCCCCCTCTCGCCTGGCCCGAGCTTCGCCACTGCTCGGCCTCCGCGCGCCGCCCTTCGAGCAGAGCTGGCGAGTTGTGGCCGGCGCCCGCGAGGCACGCGGCCCCGCCAGCGGGGGACGGAGCTCAGAAGGCGAGGCCGCGGGGGCGCACGCCGGGCTCCCGTCCACGGCAGGAGGAGGAGGAGGAGGAGGAGGAGGAGGAGGTGAAGGGGGAGGAGGAGGAGGAGGAGGAGGAGGAGGAGAAGGAGGAGAAGAAGGAGGGTCGCTACCGCAAGCTCGTGTCGTGGCGGCCTGTGCTTTGGTTTCTGGCGCCGCGTGGATCGCTCGGCCTGCGTGGATCGCACCTCTCCGACAGCACAGATCGTTCGAAGCCAGCCCACTCTGCCGGGGGCGCGCAAACATGGATTAGCGATCCATGGATTTGGCGGCTGGTCGCCAAATCCATGGATCGGGGGAGGTGCCCTCCCCAATATGCGGCCGGTACCGCCTCGCTCGGCGGCGGAAATCCGCGACTTCCTGTGGAAACGGAACCCGTCGCTGATCCGCGCCCCCTTGATCCATGGGGTCGCCGCCGAGTCAGCACGACACAAGCCTTGGGTCGGGCATGCCCTCCTGCAGGCGGGTTCTGGAGGACAAGTAACAAAACACTGTCTCAAAATATTCAAGAATGGTCCAGAGGAGTCACAACATCGCCACATTTTTTTGGGGGGGGGGCTGTTTTCGAATCCTCCTCCTGTAGAGGGGCGCGCCCGACGCAACGCGAGCCTGCCGCGCCACCGCACCCGCCGCCGAGGTGGGGGGGAGCGGGGAGGGGCGAGGCGTGGGGAGGGCGGCGGGAGGCCCAGCGGAGGCGGCACGGAGAAGCGGTCTGTGGGCAGGCGCGTTCCACGACTCGCAAAGCAACTACTCGCAGATTGCCTGGATCCGCCGCGGGGGATTCACGATGTATGCCATGAGAGGAAGACCTGTTGTTGCTCGGGCGTTTGCGAGGATAGGCACTTTGCGAGTAGTGGAACGCGCTCGGCAAGTCCGGCAGCAGCAGCGGAGGTCGGCGGCGGGCGAGGGGGGTAAGTGACTCATCGGCGCGCCACCCTTGCAGACGTGCTGCAGCGGATTTTTGTTGCGTGGATTTCTGCCTATGCAAGACCCCGAAACGGCAAGTGGAAAACGACACGAATTTCGCGTGAATTTTTGTTTGTCTTCATTCCTGGCCAAAACATATCCGCACGAAATTCACCTCGAAATCTTGAACGCAATCCTCCAGGACACTCTGGGCCCACCCTATCGTTTTCCAAACGAAATCCGCTCTGCGATGTGGGCGCCATGATAAGTGAGAAGGAGAAGGCCTTCTCGGAGGGCGACGGGAATTCTCAGAAGCCCTCGCACCTTCTGAGAGGATGTTGTCTGCGTCTTCGGGGAAGGCTCGGAAAACTGTTCGGAAGGCCGGGGAGCTTCCGAGCCCTCTGAGAAGGCCTCCTCTTCTCACCTCCACCCAGGGCTCGCCGCCGAGGAGGGGATCTCAGCACACTCAGCCCTCACGAGTCCACGGTGGAGTGAAACAATTACGGCGGGGGCATTGGACAAGGAACCCTTGGATAAGAAATCCAGGGTCTGGAAGCTGGTGGAACTTCAATCGTGGATCGGCCATGGATATCATCGCCGCCCTCATCAGAGAAAGAATCCTCCAGGGTCTGAACCCTCGTGGGCACATTCCTTAACGAACACCCCCACCGTAATGGACACTCCCCCATCAAAGTTGGTACGCACGGAGGAGGCTGCGGTCGAAGTGCAGCTCTGCAGACCCACCGCCAGCTTTGAACACTGGGAGGAGCGGGAGGCGTTGACCGATGAATGTGGCATGACTGTTCGCTATTTTTGTTCCGAGGCATGGTGGGCAATCCCTTCTCCGCTCCGAATTTCCCGTTTCCCTTCCCTCTCGCCGTCCCGCTTCTGATCCTGCGCCGCGTCCTGGAAGTAGGACGTCCCTGCACATCCTGTCCTTCGTCACTGATCTCCTGTCCCTCCTGCATGTGTTTCTCCTCATCCTCCCCATTACCTTTCATTTCTTTTCTTTCTTTCTTTCGTACTCCCGCTGGCGCTGTCGCGTGCGTGCCTAGATCGTGAAGAGTGCGTGCAATGACACCGTTAGGCTCATAGCGGCCCCGGGGGCCAACAGTTGAGGCAGCATCCCACCAAAACCACATACAAAAACTATCTAGCAATCACGTTGCAGATCAAAGGGAGAAGGAGCTCAAGGAATCAAAAGCAAATGCACGCGTAAGACAATTAGGCTGGGTTGCCTCACATCACACATTCAAGGAGAAGATCTACTGCCGAAACCTAATGCGGTTGCCTCCCCTTCTCCTTCCACTGCCCTGCACATGTTTTGATCCATCCTCATCATTCCCGTCCTCGTCATCCTTTTCCCCTTTTCCCTTTTTCCTAATTTTCATCCTCTTCCTCCCCTCTCTCTCTCTCTCTCTCCTACTCCTCCCGGTCTGCCTTTTCCTCATCTTTTTGCTAGCCCATCTCCCTTTTCATCCTCTCCTTCCGCGCCCTTATCAGGAAAACAGGACAAGCCCAGCGCCGCACCCGCTAGAAGTCTCAGGAAACGGTCAGCCTCCACCTGATCCTGCTCATCGCCTCCTCTTCATTCTGCTCATTATCATCCTCGTCGGCGTCATCATCATCGTCCTCCTCCTCGTCCTCCTCCTCCCCATTCCCTCCTCGTCCCTGATCCAAAGCCCCTTTCGTCCCTGCTATCATCCTCCACCTCATCCCCCTCTTTGTACTCCCACTCATCCTCATGGTCCTCAGAGAATCACAGTGTCCCCGTGGTTGAGCCTGCCCCCCCATTCACCGACGCCCCGACGCTGCAGATGCCCTCGAAATCGCTGTCGGCGAACTCGGCGTCGTTGAAGGCACACACCGCCGGGCCCTGCCACTGCTCTCTTTCCTCCTCCTCCTCCTCCTCCTCCTCCTCCTCCTCCTCCTCCTCCTCCTCCTCCTGCCTCCATTTGCCTCCTCCTCCTCCCCCTTCTCCTCGTCCTCCCCCTCTTGCTCCTCTTCCTCCTCCAGTTCCTCCTCCTTTTACCTCTCCCTCGAGCGGGGTCTCACGCGCCTAAACCTCCTCGAACGGGAGAGCCGGCGCACTCCCTCGCCATTCCTAAAACAGAAAGGTCCGCCAGCGAACGACATTCAAATGCTGGCCGTCTCCTCCTCCTGCTTCCATCCCTCCACCTTCCCTGATCCCTCCGCCCCTCTCCCTCCCTGATCACCGAAATCATACGGCACAAGGGGCTACCGCCATTGGGCGCTCGAGTTCTGGGCAGTGCACCCATCACGCTGCTCAGCGGAGCCCCCGTTCGCATTGAGCCTGCTGCTACTGCTGTGCTGCACAAGCGATACCTAGATCACCTGTGGTGGCTCTGAGTGCGCCTCCGTGGTGCGCAGTGCATTATCAACTCCCTGCACGCTGTGTGCCCAAGTCTAGACGACGGCCAGCAGCGTAGAAAAGCGGAACCGCTGCTCCATAGTCGTGGTCATGGCACAGGCACCGTCTTTCTGCACCAGCCTGCCCCAGACAGCTCCGCCGGGCCAAGTGGCATGCTCCCCTCTGGAGTTCTCGGGCGCTTCTGGCGTATGGGCATCCCGCGCTAGCCATACGTACTGCCGCAAGCGTGCAAGTATCAGGCGGCAGCGGAAAGGCATGTGTGCACAAGCCAGCGATGGCGGCCAGCCGCCTGCCCACCAGATCCAGGCCTCGCACGAGCCGCGATCGCGTACGGTTCTAACCACGTCCAGCCTTTAGCTGAGGCCATCACTCCAATCCTGCTAGACCGAAGGCGTGCATTGAGGTTGCTTTGACCAGCGCCGACCCCACTGCCTCGCCTTGCGAAGCCCACCGAAGCTACATGTTCGTTTCCTAGGCCGACGTGTTGAAGGAGTCGGTGCATGTCGCCGAGGGCCCTGAGCCATCACTACGACTTTCCCCTCTTGCTCGAAGCGCGCGACCTGCAACTCAGCGCCCCGCCTAATCCAAAAGCGTAACAGGAGGCTGGGATTTGGACGCCCGAAATGGGTACAGAAAAAAATGAGTACAATGCCCAATATCAAATGTTGTCCCAAACCGACAGCGGCCGCTGTTGGGCAGGCGTCCTTCTGTCTCAAATGGACACAGGCCGCGGCGGCGCGGACAGCGAGTCCTGTTCAAAATGAACAGGAACTGCTGTTGGGCATTGTAACTATTCTTTCTGTACCCACTCCGTTCGTGCAGATGGAACGCACACGTGTGCAATCACCGACGTATCATCTGGAGCATCCAGAGACCACTCGCTGGATACACGTGCGGAGGGCTCGAACACCCCACCCTGCAAGGGCCCAGCGCTGGAGAGACCTCTGGCCACGTGTGCATCCGGCTCTCGCACGTGCCGTCCGCACGTCGCGTGCAGCCAACTCTCAAAGGCAGAGCTGGGCACTGCCCCCGGCAGCTACAAAACGCACACGCGTCGGCGAGCTCAAACGTGCTGGTACTCGATGGCGCGGCGGGGCCCTTCGGACACACACACACACACACACACACACTGTTCGATCGCCAGCGGGCAAGCGACTCGCCATGCCGCCATGCCATGAGCCCTCGCACGCCGCGCGCGGGCGAGCCATCGGCCCCCGTCACGGGGCCGTGGCCAGGCAACAGCCAGGCTGGCGGCGGCCAGCGGCAGGGCGGGGCAGCGGGGCCAGCGGCCGCCAGGCCAGCGCGGCGGGCAGGGCACGGCAGCGGGGCCGGGGCGGTGGGGCGGCAGGCGGGGGACGAGCACGCCAAAGTTAGGCTTAAGTCGGGCGTGTCCCCCTACAGGGGGATTTTCGACGAAAAACGAAAAATACTCAAAAAATGCTCCAAAGATGCCCAAACATACTCAAAAAGTGGTCGACTATTTTTTGACTATCTTTGAATATCCCCCCTGTAGAGGGACAGGCCTGATTGAAAGTTAGGCGGGTGGTGGGACGGCGACACACGCACACCGCCTCAAAATGGCGATCTGCTTCGGAGCCCCCCGAGGCTCACCCAGTCTCTGTCAGGTTTCGGTATACACGGCCACCTGGCTCGAGCAGCGCTCGAGCGACGGAGGGGCGCTTCCGGGGCGAGCGGAGGCACTGCAGCAGGCGCGGCAGGGAGGCGGAGGGGGCGCGGAAGGGGCGGGAAACCGCGCTCAGAACCTGCAGTCCTTTCAGAGGAAAAAGAACTATGCACATACACCGATTCTGGCCAGGCCCATCCTGAGGCCAGGATCGGTGCATACGCCCTCCTACCTTGGCCAGGAAGGCATATGCACCGATCCTGGGTCAAGGATGGGTCTTGCCAGGATCGGTGCATGTGCATAGTTCCCTTCGCCCGACCTTCGTGCGCGAGTGCCGCAAGCGTGCACAACGAAGTGGGGGTCTTTGAAGGAGCAGAGCGCCAAATCGGAAGACAAGGGTCCAGGGTGCGGCCCGGAAAGGACCACCAGCAGTGCGCAAGGGTAGGACACACAACCAACCAATCCAAAACTCACCCAGAACAAGCCAGTGAAACATCCCCTCGTCGAACCACCGTGGAATGCCCCAGAGTGGTGCTTGCCAGCATATAGTGATGATAGAGCACGTGACGGGGGAGAGAGAGAGAGAGAGACAGAAACAAACAACAAACAGAAGCAGCGATAACCAGAAAAGCAAGAGGAATAACAATTTGAGAAACGCACGTCAACCTCCCTGCATGGGAACCATGTGTTCTACAAGTGAACGTCATATGTCCCGAACATATCGCATGGCTGACATGCCCGAGCGCGGTTCCTTCTACCATTATACGATGATGATGAGACCGGTGATGATGATGATGATGATGATGATGATGATGATGATGATGATGATGATGATGATGATGATGATGATGCTGGTGATGATGGTGGTGAAGACGCACTTGGTGGAAACACGAACACCTTGCCGAATGGTCAAATGGGCGCTCTACGGATTCAGCGGGCCCCACTGATATTGCCCCGAACCGGCGCAGGAAACACGCCTGGTCGACGCAACTCGGGGTGCCCAAACGTGATGCCCCTCGGGATGCCCGAAAGCGAGGATGGCATACGCCTCCCCACGCGAACATTGTTCCTAGACGCCAAACATATCTGGTGGCGAACAGGCCAGAGAAGCGTTCCCTGGTCGACCCCACGCTGGACGGCCCACGTGCAGTGCCTGCTGGGAAGTTGGCGGTTTGGGAAAGACACGCCCACCTCCCCTAATGGGCGGTTCACCTCGAAGGTCCTCCAAGCTTCGCCCCGAACGAGCCGATGGAACACCCCGACGCCCATGCGGGCGTAACTGCGGTCCCTCGCGAAGGAACACACGTGCCTACCCACATCGGGAAGAGGTCCCAGTAGTCTCACCAGCCCTGAGGGATAGGGTGGTCTGGTGATGACCCTCTTCCTCTTACCAGACCATTCTCTTTCGAGCTGGGATTTGTTTTTGTTTGTTCTGGGGGTTCTGCACGTGGTGAAAACGTCAAACATGGCCCAAGATTCACCCAATAGGGCTTCCGATTCTCCAAGATGGCCTCCACCAGGATGGCCCACAAGATTGACGACGATGTTTCACAAGGATGGTTTCCAGCATGCCCCCAAAAGCCTGCGAAAAGAGCCACAAGAGAATTCCAAGTGTTTTCGGAACCCGCTCGGGACCCTCCTCAAGAATCCAAAATCATTGAATGATGATGTGCTCTCAGCTTTGGCAAAAGGGCCCCCTAGAAGCCAAACGGTGGCGAGTGGCGTCCGCACGAAATATACACGCACACTATAACACCGGTGATCTTTCGTCACGAGCTAGCCTGCCGGCCCAGGGGCTCTTGCATCTTGCAGCAAACGAATCGAACATCGCCTGAGCGAGATAAGACAGGTCTGGCCAACGTGGCCTCAGTCACGTGTCCAAACAGTCCGATTCGGAATAGCGCTGCTCTTGGCCATCGTTTGCTGTTGCTTCGCCATTTTGAGCGTCGATTCGGGGTCCAGTGTCACGTCGTATGACCTCGTGTGCAATGGACCGAGAAGGAAATCAGTAGGCATAGCCTTGTTGAGGCAGTCGACGCCCATCAAACGAATGTCAATCCACCGGGTCTGATCACATATGCCGATCGGATATAAGGTATACTTCTTTGTCTTCCACGGTCTACATGTCTTCTCGTAAGCTGTTTAGCTCTATGCTGAAGCACTTGTCCTCTATCTTCTCATGGTTGGTGCGATCGAACTCTCTTCTGGACTCATGCAGTCGGTCACCCAAAGATGCCCCATGGACATTGCTGATACCTCGTCCCACACGGGATGGAGCATTCGACCTGTGCCTAGCATGCCTCGCGCGTCGGCGATAGCAGCGCGAATGCGCGCACCTGCCTCACCTCGCCGCAGGCTGACCAGAGTCCCAGCCTGTAGCGTTGATTTGCGCGCGCGTCGAATCACCCTGCTTGACGAACGTATAATGCGATTGCAATCGCTGTTCCCGTCGACTAACCCGGATCCTGCAAGTCAATTGGGCCGTGGGACCTCCGGAAGTCCAGGTTGCGTTTGACGACGTCGTCCTCCCCGGCCCAACTAGTGTCAAGATCCGCCGGGGCTACCATGTCAATGTCCCAACTGATGGCTCCCCCTTGATTGCAAAACCGCTTTCCGCAATTTGCAATGCTTCTTCCAGAACGCGGCTGGCCTCCCCGCGGCGCGCAGCCGACTCACGCGGCGCAGCAGCTCAGGTTTGCAGCGCCGAGCAATCCACGACCAAACCCCAACGACAGATCTGCGCTGTGAGGCCCCACCCTCTTTGCAATTCCCCGCGACAGCGCTGTCCCTGAGATCGGGTACAAACCCGACCTTCTCGATGTTTTCCTTCGCCGTTACGAATGATGTAGTCGGAGCCCCG